TTGTTCTACGTGATACAACAAATGCCGAAAGTAAATCAGAAAATTCGCCGACAAAAAGCGTGCAAAAAAGACAACAAAAAAAGAAAAAACGTCGAACAGCTAATTCATATTCGGATATATCATTTAATGATAAATATAAATTAACTGAAGAATTACTTGGAACCGGTGCACACGGGTATGTTTCGAAGAAGAAAGAAAAAAAAAAGCCTATTTATAACATTTCGTTTTTGTTTTTTTTTATTAGAGTTGTCAAGACGTGTCGCGATCGAATGACAAAACAAGAATATGCTGTTAAGGTATGTTGATTAGATTCGAGTGTTATCATTTAGTATATACATGAGAATATGCGTTCTTTTTGAGTTGAATACGTGCTATTTGCAGAATGGTCAATATGTATTACGCATCGAGAAGAACGAGAGCGACCCCGGACATGAATTATTTGTGACATATGAAAAAAAAAAAGAAAAAGAGAGAGAGAGGGAGAGAAAAGAAGAAAGAAAAAGAAAAAGAAGAATGTGAACCGCCAAGAACATTCTAGATGAAAAATAAAACATTTTTTTTTTTCTATTTAGATAATTAGTAAAGCGCGTCATCCGAATCGAACGCGTGTATTTAAAGAAATTGATATTTATTCTCATTGCCGTGGTTGTGAAAATATTCTAAGCATAATTGATTTTCTTGAAGATGATGACTATTTTTATCTTGTCTTTCAAAAAATGGAAGGCGGTATGTCTAGTTAAATATAAATAATTATTTTATTAATCATCAATATACTCTTGTGTTAAGGACCATTACTCAATCACATAATGAAACGTGGTCGTTTAACAGAACGTGAAACTAGTTTAATCGTACGTGATATTGCTAATGGTCTCAATTTTCTTCATTCCAAGGGCATGTCACATAGGTTTGCATATCAAAAATGATACCATTTTCTTTTTTTTTTTTGTTTCTAAAGCATTATTTATTATCTTTTATAGAGATTTAAAACCGGAAAATATCTTAGTCGAACGTGCCGATTCATTAATACCGATAAAATTATGTGATTTTGATTTGGGTTCAGCTATTCGTCTTAATAGTAATAAAACAACACCGATAACAACACCGGAATTATCAACACCTGTAATTATTTAAAATAAAAAACAAAATTCTTTAAAAAAAAAAAATAATTTTTATTTTATTTAAGGTTGGATCAGTTGAATTCATGGCTCCGGAAGTCGTAGATGCATGGACAAGTCTTGAAGGTTCATTACAAATGTATGATAAGCGTTGTGATTTATGGTCACTTGGTGTTATTATATATATAATGTTATGTGGTTATCCACCATTTTATGGTTCGTGTGGTCATACATGTGGTTGGACCAAAGGTGAAGAATGTGAACAATGTCAGGGTTTACTATTTGAAAGGATACAAGATGGAGAATTTGATTTTCCAGATAAAGATTGGAAATATATATCGAATGGTGCAAAAGATTTAGTAAAACGTTTACTTGTACGTGATGCTTCATTACGTTTAACAGCTGCTGAAGTTCTTCAACATCCATGGATTAAAAATAGTCAAGAACTTGATGATGAACGTCCATTAAATACACCAGAACTTTTACAACGGTAAGAAAAAACAAACTGAAATATTTTTTTTTTTGCAATGTTTTTTTTATATTTTCTAGACATGATAGTATTCGTCGTTTAGAATCATTTACAAAAGATGCATTAAGTATAACCAAATTCATTGAAGAACGCAAACGTATGGTGCATTATCGTTCACATAGTACTGATAGTTTACATCAACGAAGTCGATCATCATCTCATGATGATGATGCTGATGATGATGAAGATTCTAATGAATTAACACCTAATATAAATAAACGACGTATACGAAAGAAGAAAAAACAACAACAGCAACAACAACAACAAACAAAAACTCAAACAAATGTTGTTCATAATAATAAGGATGATGATGATGATGATAATCAAAATTTTGAAAATTTAAGACAAAGATTATCAAGGTAAATTTAGAACTCATTAGAACAAAAAAAAAAGATTATAACGATATTATGGAATGTGTCTTTTTTTTCTTTTTTTTAGTGCTACAATGACATCAGGTGAAGAAGATATTGGTGGTAGTGATGATTATTTTGGTTGCAGTTATAAAACAGTTATTCATCGGCCAACACAAAATTTTTTTTTGCCACCAACAGATAATCAACCTCAACAAGCACCTCCATCACAACCTCCACCACCACCACCACCACCACCACCACAAACAATAGTTCTTACACCAACACCTTTAATACCAGCACCACCATTACCCATTGTTGTGCTTCCATCACCACCAGTTAATTCTCCAATGCATTATCGAGCTCATACAGAAAATGATCTTATCTATTATCAACAACAACAACAACCTCAACCACTTTATCACCCAACTAATTGGTATCAACCAATATTTATTTATGGGCCACCACCACCATTTGTTATGCATCAAACACCATATCGAAGTTCATCAGTTGATTGTCGTCGTACGGCAAATAATATACATGAACCTCATGTTTTACATCCGGAACGGGTTTGGTGAAAATATATAAAAGCAAAAAAAAAAAAAGTGTCCTTGTTTTTTTTTCTTTTTGTTTATTTGTTTTACTTTTATACATTTTTTTTTTTTGGCTTTTTTTTTCTTTCTTCCCGCATGAATCCTTAGATCAGAAGAACGCGAATAGGATAGGTCGTTTTTCGTACCCAGTGATTTCGATCTGACATTTAATGGATTTTCCTTTTTTTTCTTCCCCCTTCAGTATTCTTTTTTTTTGTTGTACAGATTTGTTTTCTTTTCTCTTGTTAACATCAGGGTCAGTCGTGATGCGTATTATATACAGAAGAGATTGAAGTATATACTTGGAGATGAGATCAAAACAAAAATTATCGAATTCGAGCCGTTAAGTCTCCAATTTATAATCATTTATTCTTCTCTAGTGTTTTTTTCGATCTCTCGTTGGCACGGTCCGACTAAAATATTGTTATAGTCTGTCTTTTGTTTATCATGTTTTTTTTTTCTTTTTTTTTTTTTTTTTTTTTTTTGGTTGTTCCATTGTAAATATATATATATATTTGCCTCTCTGTTCGCGTGCCATTTTGTTTCTTTCTTTTTTTCATTGCTCGAAATCATTAAATGTCGCTATCGAGCAAATTAAGGCAACGAATATTTTTCATTATGTATATAATTACATGTATGTAATTTCCTGGATATTTGCGAAGCATAACATATTAATTTACTTGTGAACATATATTCTTCTTCGTCTTCTTCTCCTTCTTCTTCTTTTGTGTTTCATCTATATCCGGTCTTAAGTCCTTGTATTTTCTATGAGTGTCTAAGATGAAATTCAAAAAAAAAAGAGTTGAGTGATCTTCGTTCGTTTTTTTCTTTCTTCTTATGCGCAATGATGACCAAAAGCCATGTTTGATGTTTGTTTTTCTATTATGATTATTTCTTCCTCTTTATGTTTGTGTGGTTTCTTCTATGTTTTTTTTTCCTGGTTTCTATCTTGTCATCTTTTTGTTCTTGTACTCAATCCATTATTCTTCTTTTTTTTTTGTTTTTCTTTTTTTTGTTCGTAGACTATTCGAGTTATTATGATCTTATTTGATGTATCTATGATATTCGATGCGTCGAAGAAAGAAAAAAAAAGAGTAGTGAGAATAAGATTATAGATAGACAGATAAGTGTAAGGACTTCTTTCTTTTTTTTCTTGTTTAGTTTAAGTTAATAAATAAAGAGAGAAAAAAAAATAGCGTTAGAATATAAGATTATTTAATAAATATATACAAAAAAAAAAAAAAAAATAGCAATGATATTTGTCAATTCAACATATTTTTCTTGTCATTGAAATAAGCATACAAATATAAATGATTAAATAGGTATTAATCTCCTTGATTTTGTTATTAAAAACAAATTTGTAATAGGAAAAGCAAAAACAGAGGGAAAGGGAGATAAAGGACCTTGAGATTATTGTTATTATATGTATCATTTATTATCTTTTATGAAGACGTGATGATAAGAATGGCGAAATAGATTTAATTATGGCCCTATTGAATTAAATATCTTTATCAAGAAATATTATAAATTGCTTTAATTTACTATTAGATTTAATCTTTTTTCAATAGTAATAAACATGTAATATTACAAATAAAGGTTGAAATATTCTTTCCAACTTCAAATATACGTGAATGAAAATATTTTTCTGTTTACAATATACATATCTGTATGCCTATAGTTGTCAAAAAAAAAACATGCCTCGTTAACTATGATAATTATCACAATATCAGATATAGGAAGAGCATTTATAATTACCTTGATAGAAATGAAATCGCGTACCAGACATTGCCTTGTTTTGCATTCATTTACAACACAAAGCAAGGTGAAACTAAGGACATATTTCTTTTTCGTATGGGAAATAAAATCAAATTGGACATGATAACATTAATCGGATTTAAAATCTGTTCAATTAGTCTCTTTTAATTATAATAAATCTTGCAAAAAAAAAAAATTAGATTTTTTAATAATTTATGTGTTTAGAATAACTGAATAGTGCATAATATTTGTTATCATGTTGCATTGATCCAATTTTTACTCTTATTAAAGTACATCGATTTCATGTCAACTCAATTTACTCTTCATTTAACCTATGTTTAAAGGATACTTATCATGTTGATCGAGTTTATGTTGTACTTCGTTTTTTTTTTGCCTAATACAAGACAAAGACAAAGACAACCATATCATATAACATTGTTTGAAATATTGATGTCAAAAGAATTTAAATGTTTATTAACGACACACAGGATTTACTAACAATGCTGAATACGGAATTAAGATTCTTCTCATCAAAATATTTACTTTTTAAATCATCATAGCTTTTCTAACTCTATAAAAACACCTATCAATTCCGTTGTTTTCTTCATAAGACGCAATTCAACTTAAACGATCAACGGACAGATTTATTATGATGTGCATGTTCAACGGTATGATTGTTATTGCAATTGCATTATTTATCCAATTACATAATGTATATGCTCAAAATGCATGTACAGCAGTAGCATTAGCAGCTTGTGGTCAACGTCCATGTATTCAAACGGGTACTGAGTATTCATGCCTTTGTTCAAACATGCAATTGGCACAAAGTGCAGCACAATGTAACATCATTAATCCTATTGTAACACAACCTCCAATTGTTTTTCCGAATCAATGTGGAAATGCTGTATGTCCTCCTGGTGCTACATGTATACCAACAAATCAAAATCCACCACTTTATGTTTGCGTTTGTGCAAATAATGTTATTGCTAATCCTACTTGCCCAACAACTCTACCGAATAATCCATGTCTATTAAATCCATGTATAAATGGCGGTACTTGTGTTGTTAATCAACTTACACTTCAAGCTGTTTGTGTCTGTCCACAAAATACTTATGGTCGAAATTGTGCGACTTATTATCCTTCAGTGGGTCATCATAATAATTGGTAAGATATATGAAATTTATTTTAAGAAAGAGAGAAAACAAAAAAAAAGAAATATTTTATAAATATATTTATAGGTGTTATAATGGCGGTCGACATATTAATGCATATGGTCAACCATATTGTACGTGTCCATATCATTATCGTGGTCGTCGTTGTGAACTACAATATAGTCCTTATAACTATGTCTACTTATATCAGTATCCTCAACAATATGGTAAATAAATTGAAGTTTTCTTGTATGAATAAAATACATTATTTTATTTTATGATTAAATAAAATAAAAAGAAAACAAAACTTCTTCTTCTTGAACCATATACATATATATATACTATTATAATATATTTTAATTATCTTCATGGAATAACTCATATGAATTGAACAAAAAAAAAAGCTATATTTCTAGATCGATTAAATTGAATTTCTATATGTGTTGATTGATTAATCTCTTAAATTTATAATTGAAGTTTTAAAGTGTCATTAGACATGTGAAAAGTATGCACAATTCAAAATAGCACAAGAAATCAACAAAGTTTTCAAGAAAAGTTAATCGAAACATCGCTCACTAGAGCCTATGAGATTCGTTCTGGACGGACTTTATCATTCACATATCTGAAAATAAATATTAATTACAAATATTCAGAGAATGGTATTTATTAAGAAGGATTTTACATTATTGTAGTCGATCTCAGACAGTGTAGATCTTCCTCAAATTCAAATCTAGCGCTACAATCAATGTAATATTATAATTTAGTAAAGTGAATAGTTGCGATAAATATGTCAGTTTTTTTTGCTAGATTTACTAATAGAGAAAGAAGGAAAAGAAAAGGAAGTCTATTTTTATTTTTTGAAATAAATTTTATCAAATATGTTCGATGAATTAACTGCACTTCTTGATGATACAAATCGTACATCATCACATGGATCAATTCTTATAACAAGTTTAGATTTTGATTCAAATTTTTTATTACAACATTTTTTAAGTTATTCATTAAAAAATACTTTAAATTGTGTTTATATTAGTTTATTAACACCATTTTCTCATCTTAAACATGTTCAAAATAAAATGGGTAATACTTTAAAAACACCAGAAATATCATCATCATCTCTTATGTTTATTCCGCTTTTTTCATCATTATCTGATCAATTTTTTCATGAAAAATCATCATTGAATATTGATGATCTTTGTAAAATGATTCAACAACAAGTTATTGCATCACCCGATATAATTATTATTGAAGATTTACAAATCTTACGTCATTTATTAAAATTTTCTGATATACAAGTATTACTTATGCAAAGAAAATTACGACACTTATTTCCTAATGCACAATTTATTACTCAAATATCTATATCAGATGATGAAAATGATGATGAAAATTTTTCTTCATCATCATTCATCAATATGCTTAAAAGAATACATAATAAACATTTATTTGTTCGAAGTTTAACTACTGGAGCTACAAAAGATATAAGTGGACAAGTAAGATGTCACGTTTTCTTTAGTATAAAACAAAAAAAAAAAGAGATTCAACAGTAAAGTTTTGTATATCTTAATTAAACGAAAAGAAAAAACAAATCAGTACATATTCTCAACCTTGTTTTATACTCACAGAACAAAAAAATATGTCTATAGAAGTTGACTAAAATAAAACAAATTAGTCATACAAATTATTGATTTTAGAAATATTTTTATAAACAAATTACTTCGATATTAACCAGCGTGAGAGCTAAGATGGTGGTGCCTTTCTAAAGATCGAATTGAACCTTCCGAAAGAAAAAATCCCAATAAAACACTAAGCGATGCAAATTTTGTCGATGAACTTAATCTGTATTTCGTGTTCAGAAAGATTCAAACACTAGGTTTTTTTTTTCTTTAAGCCGTTTCCGGCAATAGACGATTCTCTTAATTAATTTCTTTCTCGAAAAATTAGAACTTTAATTAGGATATTTATATTAAAATATATCTAGTTTTGAGCTGAAAACCTTAAAATACTATGATCAACATTATTTCTGGTCTTCTAAAACCCGAAAAATCACTTTACTTTTCTGAAAAACTTTTTTAATTAGAAATTATTAAAACATATTGTTAACAATAGAAGACCGATCTTAAGAAGACAGCCCCTCGTTCCCTTTCCGAATATGTTAAAATCAAAATTTTTTCGATTTTTGATATACCTTCGAACTGTTCGTTGTCAAACGCCATATAAATGAGGATTCTTCGTTGTTAATTAATACTTTTATTAAATCCAATTCTCGAAAAACTCGCGCTGCATTTATTCTTGATGTGCAAAATAATTATTTGATCTCAGTTGTTATTAAAAAAAATTGCAGCTCAAAAAAAAAATGAAGTATAGAGCTTTCCGACTTCCTTATCTCCCTGAAGAAAGTATCTGGGAATTTTTGAGTCTATGATAACTTCTGTTTTACTTAGAGAAACTTAAGTTAGAAGCGAATAAACTATTACTGATGAAGACAAGATTAAAATAACAATATTTTCTTCTATTTGAAAATAATTCGAAGGTCTCCATTAGATTTTACTATCTTTCAATGGATAATTTATTAATTAATCTTTTTATTTTTAGTTAACATATACTGGTCCATCTCAATCAAATCTATGGACAAATATAATTATTCGTAAATGTTTATTTCGTCTAACAGATCGAACATTAAATTTAATAACTAGTGCTGTTTAGAAAAAAGAAAACATCTTGGTTGTTTTTTTTTTGTGTTCGTTTTCTTTTTCTTTTTTTTTATTTCATATGTTTTGTTTATTTTAGATGAGTGATAATGAAACATATTTATTTGAATTAGATGATGATTTATCAGAAAAAGATTGGAATGGTCCCAAACGATCAATATGTTCTCGTTGTGAACGACCGGAATTAGTTTGTCTTTGTTCACATTTACCTTCAACACCTATTCATCTTAATCATACATCCGTTGTTATATTTCAACATCCAAATGAAATTAAACGACCATTAGGTACTGTACAATTACTATCCAAATGTCTTGATTCATCATCATTAACTGTTATACGTGCAAGGCAATTTCCACGAAAATATTATCCTGATATATATTCAAATCCAAATACATATTTACTTTTTCCTAATGCAAATGCTGTTCTATTAGATGATATTATTAATGAGAGTAGTCATTATACAATTATTGCACTTGATGGTACATGGAATGAAGCTATGGGTATTTATCATCGTCATAGTGAATTACAAGAATTAAAAACATGTTATGTTAAAATTGATCAAAAATCTGAATTTGCTATTCGTACTCAACCAACAAAAGAAACAACATCAACATTAGAAACAGTAGCATATGCATTAAGATGTACAGAAAAAGATAAACCAACATTATTTGATGATATTGTTCGACCATTAAAACGTATGGTAGAATTACAATTAAATTTAGGTGCTGTTGTACATGAAGCAAAATTAAGTTTAATTGAAAGTGGTCAAACACGAAGACAATATAGTAAAAAACATGAAAGATGGCTTATGACACTTCAACATTAAACAAATAAAAATAAAGAATTTTTAGTTTTGTTTTCAGATAAAAGCTTGAACGTCATTTGTTTTTTTTTTTTTTAAAAACGATTTAAAAATGTGTTTTTTTTATATTACTCATAAGAAATACGGTACAATGAAAAAGTCTGGTGTTTAGTAAAATTTTTGTGAAGACTATCGCAAATTTTAATAAAATTATACGCATGATTTAATGCGAAATAACGAATAAAGTCTAGAATAATTGCTTGTATACTATAAAAAACATTACAAATGTGTTAATTTTAAAACTCTAATTCCCAAAAAAAAAAATTACACTGTGACAAAATTTTAACTACAAAAAGTCGCAAAAGTAAACGTAAATATTTCTAATACAATCCAAGGATGTGGAAGCAGATGTCAATGAGGCTATTGATTCCATCCACGCCTACACCTAGTTTGGGCCTCGGAGTGATCAAAGAAAATGAACTAATTTTGAGACTGGATATAAATTACAACATAATCAAGTAACCATAGAAAAATATCGTCGACGTTTTATCTCATTTCTAAAACAAATTAATGATGATAGCTTCATTTAGTTTTTCCTTAAGAATAATATGATAACATGAATGCAAAAAAAAATACTGTTTGTATCCTATATTAGAATTGATTGATTTTCATTTGAAAAAGACAACTCTTGACAACAATAAAAACCATCTACGCATACTTTTATTGGCTTTGTATGGTACTGAACTGTCAATTGAGCAGAAAGTATCAATTGAAATAAGAATTTGCCATATATTTTCAAATAACAAGAAGCATTATTCTGTTTCTATACACAAATCCGTTTACGGCAACATAAGAAGACAGAGAGAAAAAACTGCCAGATGTCATAAAAAGAAAGCGAAGCGTGACATAGTGTATGATATTATGTTGTAACGAAATCTTTTTTCATTTATTTCTTTTCTTGTTGCACTAGAGACAATAACTGAAGAAAGAAGTGAAGCACTTAAATGAAACGAAAATAAGAACTCGAACGACAACAACAATCAAAAGTAAATCGAAACATTTGGAAAATACCTCAACATACTATATTAATTCAAGACAGGTTTTTTTTCGTTGATAAAACATCACATACATCATGGACAACCAGAAAGAGCCGACGACAACAACTACTGCTACGTCATCCGTACATACCAACTAAGGCAACGAGGGCTTGCCTATGCTCGTATGGTGTAAAACTTTTTGTTCGCCTGTTTCAACAGTAGCATCGATCTAGATAACAACAAAGATTGTAAGCACACCATTTCAAAATTAAAAGAAGTGATGAATAAGATCAATACATTCACGGATGTCAAGCAATGTATCAATTTTATCAGCGATCTCAAACAAGATAAAATGTTTATGATTGCATCTGATGCATTGGAACGAATCACAGTTCCCATTGTACATGACATGCCTCAGGTCAGTACAATTTATATTTTTTGTGGGAATCGAGCTCATCATAAACAATGTGCCAAACAGTAGCCAAAAATAAACGGAGTCTTTACAGATATTGTTCCTATCTGTAAAGTCCTTCGACAAGCGGCACAATAATGTGACAATAACTTAGTCTCGATCAAGTTTATCATCACTTGTAGTGGAGCTACCAAGCAAAACCTCGATCAATTAGATTCATCATTTATGTACGCACAGATTATGAAAAAAATTCTATTAAAGCCTCCTTTAAAGAAGTCACTTGTTGTCGGAATTATCGAAATTGAGAAAAATGCACAGGAAGATAGCCCATGATCGGCTCTTTCATAAACGATAAAAAGTTTTACTCGGCACCCCCTTTTTTCCAAAAATTTTCGAAGATTTCTGTAACCCTCTATTCGAAAAATAAGCTCTTTTTTGGAAAAAACTAAAAATCTTTTTCGTTTTTTCTCGAACGTGGGTTCAACAATGCAGCACCAGCAGAACTCTATCATAGTAAGAGATAAAGTCAAATATTTTTTTTTTTGTTTGAAAGCTTGTGTCTAGGACTAGCCTCCTCGTAGCTTTTTTTTTCAAATAAGCCTTTTTATTATCATATAAGAAAATACCTCTGTAGAAACAGCGCCATTTTCTTAGGGATTTTTTGAGTTATTGAACTTGTCAGTGCTTTTCTTCGCTTAAAAAGTGAGAATTAAAAAAAAAAGAGTCACGAGAGAGGCTGCCAAGGGGAAAAAGAAGATTTTGACATCTAGAATCTCTCGGAATCTTTGTGAATCTTTTAGAATCTTGAAATCTGCTTTTTCCCTCTTGGTGTGGCTGGTGTGAATGTGTTTTGAGAGGACGGGAGATCCACGTTCACACCCACGCTCACCCACATCCATATTCACCCACGCCCACTCACATCCATATTCACCCACGCCCACACCCTCGATGATGATTAAGTATAATTAAAGGAAGCTGTATTCGAATCAACTATATATAACTAATATGAGTAAAAAGTAACGTTAAGGAAGAAAAATTTATGCTTCAACCAAGATGCGTTCTATATTCTCCAGAAATAGTCCTTGAAATAGTCCTGGATCCAATGTTGGCATTTCTAATGATAAAGTATATTCGATATTCGGTTTTTGCACAATGTTTGTTAGATCAAGATAAAAACCCATAAATCGATCTCTATTATGAGTATCACGAGTATTATATCCTTTATGTACTATTACAGTGACATTGTTGATTTGAGCTGTGACATTCCATCGGTCATCTGGATTGACAATACATATGAAGAGTAATAAACGATGTGGTCCTAACCATGCTACTTCATTCAATTCATCATCGGTCCAAACAATCGGATACTCTTGTTGACGTTCAATAAATTGTTGTAATAATAAATCACTGACAATGATTGAATTATTCATGATTTGTGCTGAACGAGGTAAGTATTGACCAGGAAATGATAGAACATCGATCAAGATGATAAACTCTTTTACTTGTTGGAAACGTTTCTCGTTTCCATTCAATATAACACTTTCAATCACTTGTTCTTCTGGCATAATGACAAAAATGGGATAGATTGTTTGCGTACCGGCTTCACCATAGACTCCATTGATCATCAAAATGTTTTTGTTCGCGATAAATGCTGTTCCACTAACTCCAACCAGAATTGGTTTGGAGACAGTTGAGATAAAACTCAATTCAAGTACGGTAGCACTTTGACCATCCAATAGAAAATCAAGTGTTTGATTATATTCAATCAGTTGTAGATATTTTTGTTCCGGATATATTTCACTTAATAACCAATAGCCTCGTTGAGTTGGTGATTTAATATGCAATTGACCATCGAGTCGAATCATTCGATGTTCTTGAACATAATTTGGATTGAATAAGAAAAGAAAACCATTGATGCCATTTAATTTCATCAATGACCAATTATGTTCGGTCAAGAATGGAATAGAATTTCGTATTTCTTCTATATGTTTATCAGTCCATTGTATCCAATATGTCCAGAATTGTAACGTTCGTTCTGGTAATAGATAGTATTCTTGAAGATCTCTTGCTGCTATCATGTTATGAATGAGGTTTAATCCAGCTGAAGCTACATTTGCTAGTAATGAATAGGGAAAACCCATTAGATCGAAATCTCTTATATCGTGATCTTGCCATGGTAACCTGCCATCCGCTGAAAAACGTTCCGATTGATGCCCGATGAAACCCGGAATATTTTCCATCGATCCAAAATGTTCTAACCGTAATTCACGATTGCCTGGAAGCATGAAATTTGTTGCAATTTTATCAGTATGTAAAGAGGGATAAAGAATCGGATATGTTTCTGGATTTTCATCGGCGAGTAGAGGTGATGTATAACCATTCAAAGTCACCCAAGACCATGGACCATCATATTGAGATCCATAACGATGATCCATGATTAAATGAGGTAAAGCTAAAAGTAGTTGAGTACGTACCCATTGCCAACCACGCCATTGTGAATATGCTGTATGATTTGTATCGAAGAAATAATTATAATCCCAAGCATAGCCACCGATATCTGACGAGGGAGAAAGAAAGATAATTCGTATGTAAAAATATTCATAATTGTCAGATTTGTCGGGTATGCAACCAGCACCATTCTAATTTTTTTTTATAAACACTATTCCACCCAAACAAGGATCTTATAGAGAATGAGAAACACCTTTCATCTTCATTTCTAGCTACACTGAAGCTTTCGTGAATCTTCTTCTTTTTAAATGAACAATCAAATTCATCTTTTGCCCATGTTTGATTTCAAGAAAAAGTCATAATGCCTTGATCTAATCGATTACAATGGTACTTCAATAATACGAGTTAAAAGAGCTCTTTCTCGATTTAGCTATTCGCCACACACCTGATGAGTTTGTTACTGTTCTCAATGAGTAATATTGCAGCTTTCTATTTGACCTTTTCTATCTTCTCGTATGTTTCCTCTGCAACACGAAGACACGATAATAGAAATTAGATTGTAGCAATCTCTGAAATTCAAAATCTATGAAGACGCCGATACAATTATACATAAATATCAATCCGAGACCAACACATGAGAATGTAGTGAAGTATTAAAATTTTCACGAGAATCTTATAAAATACGTGAGATACTATGGATGTCTCATTCAGATCTGATAAGATTCTTGCTCGTTCATCACCATGGAAGGCTTAGTAGTGTATGGCTGCTCAAAACTTCCTACCGGATGCAGATACTTTAAATCATAATAAAGTCATAAATTTTTTTGACTAACTAGCCGAAAAGAATAGAGAAGGCTTGCCTTTGTTTCTAGAACTATTATCTACATAGGGAAAATTTTGGTGCTTATCAAAATCAAGTCGAATATGTAGCTATTCTCCTAGAAAATTCAAATAATAATTAGTTTCAGTCAAACTTCAAAATTCTTAGTACATTTATGTTTTGGTTACATTATGAATTCCAAATGCTTGGAAGGAAATTCTAGAACTTAAGAACTCAAAAATTCGAATTACCTGTAACCTGCACAAAATCAATTAATAATTGCAAAAAGTAACGTTGAAATTCTATACTGGCCAAAGATGCACACAGATTTCGACAATGTGGGTTTTCAACTAACCATGCTTGATCTTGTCCTTGCAGTCGGTAACCTAAGGGTGGATAAACATATGGTACTAATTTGACTTGTTTCATTGCCGCATAATCTAATAGATATTGAATTGTTGATGGTATTGGATCACGATAAGGTTTCCATTGTTGTAATCGAATTTTTTCACCTAAACTCATCCACAACACACTCTCCCATCCCCAATCGTCAGTGCCCTGGTCACGTCGTGACACATTGGAGTTCGATGGTGCAAAAGTAATACTTGTTATACCCAACTGTGCACATCGATTGATCAAACGTTTATACTCTTCAATACCGTGTTCAGTCGATAGATCGATTTGGTAATCGTTATTATCCCATCCGACAACATGTTTGAGTGATTGATTATGTGGTGATACAGTGAAAAAGAACGATGTTGCATTGACATAAGCTTGTCTATCAGCATAGTTGATATGATTTGTATGCCAATAGGGAGATAGCTGATAGAAACCGATGAGAAAACCTTCACTCAAATAGGATGTTTCAATGCCGACATTGTATGAACTTGTCACTGTTTGATTATTCGATGTAATGGAATAAAGACCAAATGGATGTTGCCATGTAGCAAATATTCCCAAGAATGTTGATTCATTACGTAAAAAGATCGTATGTTGTCTACTTCTATCTTGTTGATTAAATATGATTGAGGCCGATGGAATATCCATGTTGGTAATAGTGAAAGTTGTTTCAACAGATGTTATTGTTTTATTATCGATATTTTTGAACTCAAGTTGTTTTTGTACAAATTGCCATTCTGAATGAAGTGTATAAATCATCGCCAATTGGTAGTTTGTATTGTTTGAACATGAATAAATGAATGTGATCGAGTCTAAATCTCGTATATAATACAAAAGTCTTGAACAATCAAGAGGAAGATTATTGATAAATAGTGAACTTGTTTCATTGACAATCGTAATCAACTGAGATTGATAAGTGAAAGATGATATTTGACCAGTGGATAAATCAAATTGAACGGATAAATATTGGTTCGATAATGAAAATTGACTTTGCCGATGAAGATGAATAATCATCGTTGCCGAATAAAAAACAAGCAGAAATACAAAACCAAACTTGACATATGATACTGAGGACATTTTGGGGTGGTTATTAATTTTTTTTTCGGTGATTTTCTCGACTGAATTAAAGATTATATTTTGGATCATATTTTACATAACTATTCCAATTGTCAAATAAAATTTAATCTAGAGTTATAGAAAAAAAATCGTTATGATTACCATAATCCAGCGAGTTTTACATCATTTATTATCTTCAGAGCTGGCAATAGCGGGGATCACACATATCCCCAATCTTCGAAAATTTTCGTTTTCTCCTAGTGGAGCGAAACGAATTTTCTTACGTTTTGTCAGACACTTCTTCCTTCCTCAGGAAAATGATCGACTACATTAGTACTCTGCAATTCGGACCCTCGGATCAGCTCTGATTGACTTCTCCATTTAGTCTGAGCAATATGCTGATGTCTTACTTTTTATAGATTCAATGGCGTATGTAAGAAAACTTCATTACTATATGTTTTCTCCACACTGTGACTAAAAGCGTAGAATATAAGAAAAAAAAATGTTATTCTCGTTTGAAAAATGAATTCAGTGAGTGACAGCATTTCGAATACTTCAATGTGTTTGTGTCACATGCTGCAAACGATTGGCGAGAGGAGACGACTGAAGGCTTTTTGTATGCTTTCTTTCTCCATTCTTTTTCTTTTTAATAAGACAGACTACCTATGATAAACATGTCGTTCATTTCAACGGAAATAGGTATAGAGGAATAATAAAAGGAAACCTCGTACGTGAAATTCACATAGGGAGTGGGGAGTTATCGAAGAGAAAAAAAATCAGATTGGTGATAAAAAAATGTAGACCAATGGAAATTAAAATAAACAAAAAACAGTATTCAGCCAGGTTTGTTTTAAAAGGCGCAATAGCTGTAAAGAATGAATTTATAAAAAGTTGAGTGTGGGTGCGAGTGCGGGTGTGAATATGTGAGTGTCAGTGTGAGTTGGGTATAGGTTCTGGTTTACTCTTTATGAAATCTACACTCATACGGACAACGACACTCACACCCACCCTAATCCAGAAATGCATAAAGCGATGAAAAAAATGACATAAATACAACTCAATTTATTATAATGAACTCCAATTAACATAGATAACCAATATTCTGAAAAAATTCAATTAACAATCATTAACTAAATTTCTAGACGAAATATTTATATCGAACTACTATTCAATCAAAGTGGATAGATAGCCTATCTTTTTGCCTATCATAATCAATGTATGATGTTGGTAAAGGTAATTTTTACTGATATAATGTGTTTTCTAACAGTTGACAAACTTCAAGAATGATTATTGATCTAATTATTATCTAACTGAACAGAAGATCAACGTAAAAAATCGGATTTCTTTTAGTTTTATTCGTCAGTAAACAAATTGAAGCGAAGCGAAGATACTCAAACGAAAGATCACTTTGTGGAAAACAACTTGATAAAAAAAATCTGCTTCTGAACGACTTTTTTTTTCAGTAAAAAATTGAGTTTTTTGTAAAAATTTAAGTTTCACTCACTTTATAGGCTGACTTTTTGGAAATTGTATTACGAATAACTTCTGAATAACTCATTCGTTTTCGATAAAATTTTATCGTGGATATACTTCTTAGAGTTGTATAACTACGAGGCAAAAACTTAGCTGTCTAACTCTTATAACTTTCGAGAAATTTGCATTATATGATAAAATGTAGACTGACTTTTTTATATGATATTACAACTATAAATGGATCAATATGAGTGATATTTTATATCATTTGATATGTTCTGTGGTGGAATGTTATCCTATTTTTATTTCGAACATAGATTCTGAATTAAAACGTAATTGTATCACCTAGAGTTTACATAGATTACTGCAGCTTATAGAACGACATTTTTCATATGATACTTCAAGCAATAGTGAGTCGGCATGGTTGCATTTTATATCAGTTCACACCTAGGATTTCGGTGCTCGATAATCGGTTTTTTCATTAAAATATTGTTCTTCATGTTATGCTTACACTGAAGTAACGCGTATCTCGACTAATATGCGATAATAAAAATAAAAGTCGGTTTTGATCTCATCTTTTGGCTATAAGTAGATCTTGATCAGACATAAAAAAGCTGAAAAGAGTTTTTTTTTCTCTCAAAGTCTTTGTTACTCATAAATGAAATTTTTCAGAAACTCTTGTCATAACTAGTACCCGTTGTGATCACGGTAGTCACTGTCACGGATGTGTGTGTGAGTATGAGTCCTTTCCTGACACCGACACCGACATCCACACATCCAAGCAAACATTGATGATAAGGACCCGGAAAATATTATAAGATTGAAATAGGATCTCACATTATTTTTTTTTGCTATAGCGAACACATTTATACTTGTAAAAGAATATAAAATAAAACATTTATCTACGCAATAACATATTTTGAAGTTCATTTGTAAACTTTCCTTTGCTAGGAAAAGCCGAGAAAATTGTTTTTGAACGGGAAGCAATCGTTCCCAGAGTTCTTCCCTAAATCTGATGCTACATTTCTTTGGTTTATGTGTTTGGCTCAAGTCTTTCGACCAGATTTCATGCCACAGGATCGTGATTTGACGAAAACGATATAGTAAGATATATGAAGTAATTTCAAATGATATTTACATCATATGGAATACTAAGAAAGTCAAAATCATAAATAGATATCTAGTTCAACACATAGAGTTATATTTCTCAAAATATTTTAGACAGATAGATGCATTATAAACAGCGGCATCTTTCGAAAAAAAATATATCGATGTCTGTTGTTTAGATACAAGAATAAAAAATATATTTTATTAGTTTATTGATGATTAAAATGACTGGAAGAGGTCGTGGACGAGCTCCTGGTGAATATGTTAGTTTGCCTTCAAATGCAGCTGCCGATGTTGATGCTTACTTTGAATATCGAGCGTATGAAATGAAATTTTGAATTATATCCTTTCTTTTATTTTTTTTGTTTTTTTGATAGTATTGTTGGTGATGATGATGAAGGAAAAATATTCACTCCTGAAGAATATGAAGAATATAAGAAAAGAGTTTTACCAATGGTAAAAATTTAAATATTTTAATTTTTGTTTTTGTTTTATTATCATTAAAAACTAAAATAGAAATTAGAATTTCAAAAAATCTAGTTCCTCAACAATAGATTTTCAATGGTATGTTAAAATATTGATGCATAATAATGGCATTATTTTTTATTGTGATATCAATTTTTCTGTTTATTGTGATATCAATTTTTCTGCATGCGATGTCTGGTTCGTTTTTATTAATATATAATACTCATTGTGCGAACTCGTTCGCATGATTGCTTTGATGCACTATGAAGTAAAGATTCCTTCTGATCGTTCTATAAGCATGATTAATATTGTTTTGTTATGACAGTTTCATTTGGAATTATGCATGAGCGATTTATATGCCAGTCAAAACATGAAAACAGTCTGAATACGTCAGATCGGCGGCTCAGTCTGTCATCGACAAATCCAGCAGTCTAAAATTCATACCGATTCCATCTTTAGATAGTCTCATTTAATCTGATCAGTTAAAACATTTTTACAGATACTTTGACATCATAGATTGATGATCAATAAATTGGTAACAAATTGTCAAAACTTGTTTATGAATTTTCTCATTATACTATCGATCGATATTTTAGGCCTGCTGTTTTCAAAATTTTAATCAGTCGAGTCTTCTACAGTGAAGAAAAAATTCGTATTTAGACCTACGATAGATGCATAATATTTGTGCTTCTTTGTTGTTTAAATATTATTTTAAAAATTATCATTAACGATTCGAAAGTTGAATTAGTTTTTTTTTTGGCTATCTGTTAGAATGAACTAAAATGATCGATTTACAGCAATAGATCTGTTCAGATGACTAACTTGTTTAAAATCTTATTTAGCGTCTTCATAATCGACTATATGTTTCATGGGTTAATCCTCAAGGAATGGATTGTATTTTAATTGGACCACAACATAAATGTCTTTGTCGACATAAGTAAATTTTTTTTTATTATTTCTCAAAACAATAATTCATAGAATTTTTCTTTAAATTCAGATTTGCTGAACATAAAACAGATTTTGCTGAAATTCCTACTGAACGACCAATACTTATTTCATGTCGTCAATCAGGTTGTCGTTGTGTTTCATTTGAATATGTTGCTAATGCATCGGGTACAAGTGATCCAAATTGTCGTTGTAAACATTCACTTGATAATCATACAACAAAGCCACCTTATAAATGTCAAAAAAGTATTGAGAAGCTTTTTATTTTTAATCACAAAAAGAAAAGTCATTGACCATTTAGTTTTATTTAGATTGTAATTGTACCGGATTTTCTGCTCCATTTACATGTACATGTGGTGAATCAGCGAACAAACATATAACTCTAGTTGAAACAAGAGAAGAAAGAGAAAAACGTAGTCATCCAACTGGTTATGCAGCACCATATCAAGCAATGGGTGGCTTAACAGGATTTAGTTCATTAGCTGAAGGCTATTTACGATTAGATCCGAGCGGGCGAGGTACAGAAAAAAATTCTTCATTTTTTTTATTCTCCACATAAGTCAAAACTAACGATGTTAATTTGTTAATAGGCCGACCAGATGATGATTTTCTTAATCAACCAATAACTGCTATGGATCATCCAATTCTTCGTGTTCATGCATCACATGAACCTAATAGTAAACAAAACAAGATCTTAATTCAAAATTTATTAA